CTCGGCCTCCTCTGTCCGAGGAGGAGATAACAGCCCGCTCTTTCTGTTGGCGTGGTTGCAGCCCTTCTGCTTTGCTGCCTTGTGTCTCCCCGGCTGTGGTGCAGCCCCTCCCCTCCAGGCGTTGAGGCAGAAAGTCCCTTTCCCGCGATGGCAGCAGCCTCCCTGTATCCAGACGTGTAGCATAACGTACCCCAAGTGCATCATATCTGCCCCAGAACGGCTGCACTCCTACTGCGTAAACTTTACTCCCCTGTGGCAGGTGGGAATTAATGTAATGCCTTGTCCTCATCTTGTTCCCATATGCATTGTAATGTTCCCCTATATGTTTCGTTCCCTGTACCCATATGTGTAATAATTTCCAATGAATGCAGCTTCCTCCATTTTCTTGCAGTGGACTCTGTTCTCCTGAGCCCTGGTTGTTCATACTCCACTGCAGGATTAAATTGTTGGAGTTTTTTTAAGATTTTTGCTGAGCTTGCTGCCTCTTGGAGTTGTAATATAGTTACTGTCTGCTGCATCTGAAACTTTTTCCACAGGTTTAAATGCATATAAGTTATATCTATAGCAACAGACATCTCCTAGATGTCGGGCAGGTTCCCTCAAATATAAGTATTTGTCAAATCTGTGGGATCAGGATCTTGCTGATGAGTCTATAAGCTTTCACTGCAGACCGTTAATCAGTCATGTTTGATCCTGCAGCAAATTAAGAAGTTAAGTTTTTGGGTGGAGATAGTGTAATACAGGCGTATCACAGACTAAATAATGAGCTTACAGGTTGTTCCACAGGTGATAGACCTCTCATTACATTCAAATTTTCTCTTCTTCCATTCATGTCAGATGCAATATCAGATGAAGTGCTACATTTCATGTCACGTTATTGATGTTGTTATGAAGCTAATTTGATATATATGTGTGTATATGTGGGTGGGTGTGTTGTGTGTGTATGCATATATAAGTTCTGTGTATTGGCGAGGCCTTTAAATGTTGTGGAAATAGTTACTTACTAAATATACTTGCTAGAGTATTATTATAAGGAAGATATTCCTTTACAGTGGTGCAAAAAACAGTGAGATTCAAGAAGATGATTGGAGTGTTGATGTATTGGTGTAGATAGTTTTTAAGGTCAGCAGAGACAATAATTCCTTTGTGTTTGATTGGGAAGTCTTGAGGCTTGTGTGATACTTAATGTTGAATTTCTTTGTGAACCTCAAAATACCAGTGTGGACTACAGTGTAACTTCATCAAAGCCTGAAACGATTGATATCTCATGCCACAAATGTAATTTTAGGTAGTTTCCAACACCTGTTAATGTTTGAACAGTATTAGTTACCTTTTAAACATCCTTACTGTAGTCATGTGTATCTGCTACTAACCAGAAAAATGTTACTACTTGGAATATTTTTTGGCTTTGAAAAAAAGATATATAAAAATACGGCGTACAAACATAGGCAAACTAGTAGCAAATAAGCTCTGGACATAGGTTTGTTATGTCATCTGGATTTTTTCTTTTGTCTTTTAGTTTTAGATTGAAGAGAAAATGTCACTTTACGATGACTTGGGAGTTGAGACCAGCGATTCTAAAACAGAAGGCTGGTCCAAAAATTTCAAACTACTACAGTCTCAATTGCAGGTGAAGAAAGCAGCTCTCACACAAGCAAAGGTATAGTCCCTTTGTATTTTTGCTTTCTATTATTCAAACTTCTTCTGTGTCAGAGCATTGAGGAAAGTTTGTGACCTTAGAATACCGATTTGGGGTAATTTGGTGGGATTTGTCTATGAGTTTGTAGCGAGGAGCCAAGCAAAACTGAGGGAGGAAAAGGCAAGATGCATGTTTCTTGAACTCTGTTAGAGGGAGTCTTGCAAAATTAAAAATGAAGAACTGATGTGTGTGCTGCGAGCCTCAGATCTGTTAACTAGCAGAGCCAAAAGCTGATGTTCAAATCTAACTTCAAAGATAATGAGATTAAGCTTTTTTTTTTTCTTAAGGAAGTAAGGGCCATAACTGTGGTTGATAGTTGGCACTACTGGCTGTTGGTCATTCTTGGCATTTTGCATCAGTTATTTACATGTTTGCATCATTTTATGCTTGCTATTTAAAAGGCTTATGGTGCTAAAGTGCAAATCGTTGTGCGTTAGAAATTTTTGCACAAAGTATTTCCAGTGTACATGAAAGGGAGAAGGAGCGCAAGCTAATTACTTGAGCTTAAACTGTGACAGAGCCATTTTCTCTTTTTATTGCTACAGTATTTCGCCCTTTTTCTTTAAGCAGTGTTGATATTTTGGTTCAGGCAGGACACGTGTCGTCTTTGTGATGTGTAGGTTCTAGAGTGAGATTACTTAATTTAAAAAGAAGTATTAGCATAGATACCTAATACTTAAGTAGGCACAGCACTTTTTCACTGGAATTACTCCTGATTTATGCTGCTAAAACTGAGGGCAGGATTTCGTTGATAACTGGAACAACCTGCATGAATGACATCTAAATGGCTACTATATTAGATATATTCTTTGTCTACGTAACTGACAAAGAGTGTATGCATAGACTAATAGAAGAATAGAATAGGATTAGAAAATTCAGAGTTCAGAATAGATTAATACATTTTATCAGGTGATAAAATATGAAGAACAGTACATCTTCGTAAGAAGTCGGAGCCCCTTCTTAAAAAAAACCCCACTCGGTTCAAACTCGTCTGAAGAGAGAGTCTGAATTTTTAATGTTTCTGGTCCTAGTCCAAACCTAGGACCATTCACCTACCGCTGTGTGTTCTAGTGCATGCACAAGCAAAGTCTGATCTCACTCCCTTAAAAAGAGGAAGGTATGCACTGGTTTCGCTGAACTGTTCTTTGAAATATTGCGTCAGATCTGTATTTGTGTAGCAGCTTTTTAACCATAGTTGGCAAGCATCTGTCTCAGAACTGAGCGGCCTTTGCCACCACTAAAATATGGCATAAACTAAGTTATCCACGTCAAGGTTCATTAGAAATGTCGAGAATTGCTGTATGTTGTTAAACTGAAGAGAAATTATATATTGAGCTTTGCACAGTGAAGAATTTGAGACAGTGGGTTTCATCCTTTTTAAAAAAAATTGGAGATACCAGCTGCTTTTTAGAAAACTATTTTGTTATCTTTTTTAGACATTTTGTGTTCTGATAATTTTTTCAGAGTCAGAGAACAAAACAAACAACAGTCCTTGCTCCAGTGATTGACCTGAAACGAGGTAGCTCTTCTGATGAGAGACAGATTGTGGACACACCGCCTCATGTAGCAGCTGGATTAAAGGTAAGACCAAGGCAGCTAAAAAGTCCAGCTGTTAACAGATGTTTTGGAATTGGAATTCTTTGACTGCAGTCTGTATTTTTATTTTTTCGTCGTCCTTCCTAGTGGTCAAAGAAGTGATCACTTTCTGAAATTGATTTCCTCTGCTCAGAGGTTCTTTAATTAATGAACATTTTAACTTTATACAGACTTCCATGTGATACAACATGGAGTTACCCAGATTAATGTGCAGTTAAAATAAAACAATGTTCCTAGCATATTTCTCCTGGACACCTTCAAAGTACTTTGCAAGACAGCAATTTGGTCAAGTAAATCATACAATCACAGAATGGTTTGGGTTGGAAGGGACCTCTAAAGGTCATCTAGTCCAAGCCCCCTGCCGCGGGCAGGGACATCTGCAACTAGAGCAGGTTGCTCAGAGCCCCGTCCAACCTGACCTGGAATGTTTCCAGGGATGGGGCATCCACCACCTCTCTGGGAAACCTGTGCCAGTGCTTCACCACCCTCAGTGTAAAAAATTTCTTCCTTATATCTAGTCTGAATAATGAACATAATTGTAATTGCACCAGTATTGGAACTGGACCTGTATAACAGTCAACTTAAAAACAAAAGAAAAGCCACCTAACCTTTTAAAATGGATTTCCTGTGATAAAGAATCAAAAGAAACTTTCTCCTTGAAATTTTTTCAAAGGTGATGGTTCTGAAATAGTTCTTTCAGATGAGAGAATAACATTATGTGCACCTCTGCCGGTATTATATTAATAGCAGATGATGAAAAAGACTGATGAGATTGTGTGGGAGGACCCCTTGCAGATCACTGCAACAGCAAGATACCCTAATACTTCTAATAATGGATTAATGGATTTTGAAAAATTCTTGTCCGCGTTGATTTGCTGCTGCTTTGTTTTTGGCAGGGGGAGTGGGTGGGGGTGAGTCTTTCTTTATGGAAAAATTTATGATAGTGAGAGGCTGAGTGAAATGTTAGTTTTAAGTAAAGCAAAGATTTCTTCTAGTGCCGGTGGGGTATTACCTGTCACTATAGAAGTCAGGAGTTGAGTTTTGTGTGGTTGAGAGTGAGAAGGAAGTGTTAAATTCTTGGTTTCCAACTGGATGTTGTTTTCAGACCTGAGCTGAAAAAAATCCTTTTTCTTTTGTAAGGATCCTGTACCTAGTGGTTTTTCTGCGGGAGATGTGTTGATTCCTTTGGCGGATGAGTATGATCCCATGTTCCCAAATGACTATGAAAAAGTGGTAAAACGTCAAAGAGAGGAGCGACAGAGGCAGCGTGAGCTGGAGAGGCAAAAGGAGATTGAAGAAAGAGAAAAGTAAGGCTTTTGTTTAAACTCATGACATATTGACAATTATATAAAGAATAGACATGTCGATTTGTTTAGTTTTATCCTTCTAAGCAAGTTTCAGGGAAATTCCTAAAGGTTTTGTGAAGAATACTGTATGCTTGTAGAAACAAGCGCAATGTTTTAATTCATATGTTTTAATGCTCTTGCTAAGATCACCTAACAGTGCAAAAATTGTAAGATTTATCAAGTTTACAACTTCTTTGGCTGAAAGACATGTGTCAAGTTTTTCTACATGTACTTTATTTCGATAGTAGCAGCAGTATTTGGGTACTTGATGCATCATTATCAGACTTTGACCTTGCAGGTGTTTTAGAGTATTTGTTGTCAGTATAACCTGACTACAGAAATACCTTTCAACACTCGACGATAAACCATCCATTCTGCTTTTAAATACTGCAAACGGGTACATGAACGCATTCAGTTTTAAAGATATAGCTAGCACAGGCTTTGAGAGGCATACTTGCATTTTCTTTTTTAATATTCTGCATTCAGTTTAAGTAAGTTAATTGTGTATATATTACTCTTTTGTCTCTGGACAAAAGGGAATACTACTTTTTTTTAATTACCTTAATGCCTGTTCCCTGGAATGAGTAATCTCTCTAATCATATTAAAGAAGTTGAATGCAGATTCAGTGTCCTATTGAAATAGGTGGCAGAACATCTGCCAGCCAGGCAGTGAGATTACATTTGCTTATTTTAAGTGAAATTAATATGCCAGCTTCATCACGGTATGAATCATCTAAAGTCTGTGGAATTACAAGAGGGGTATTCTGTTGCTCTGTTTAGATTGTGGAAATTAATTAGTCATCTGGACTTCTCTGTCTTCTCCCGGTTATATCTTCATTGTTCTGGTGGAGGAGGAATGCCTGAGGCTCTGTCATACTAGCATGCAAGATCTCAGAAATCTGGGCTGTCATTTCCACAGCGTTGATTGCTATTTAGTCGTGCTTGTACTTGTTGTATGTGGGCCAAGAGGGTAGTCTTTATATATAACGTTAGAGAGAGGAAGTGAAAAATACGTAATACGTTCTGATTTAAAATTGGGGAAACCATCTCAGCCACACCTGCACCAGATGTATGCTTTGTGATAACCCAAGTGTTTGAACAGAGTGTACCTTTGTTTTAAATTCACAGTGTAGATTCAGAAATTTTGTCTGGTTCCATAGTGGTGCTGTTTTTAGCATCTTGTAGCACAGTTTTGATGGCTGTGCTGGGAACGAGATCTGATTTATGCTCCAAGCTGTGCTCTTAACTTCTTGGGAAAAATACTTTCCCTTTTTCTAAAGTATTAAAATGAGTAATTTCACGATCACAATAAATAACAGTTGAAGTGCAAACAATTCTTGAAGCATTTCTCACCTAATGATAAAAGTTTTAATACTTGCCTGAATCTTATTTTAATTGCCAAGCTAGCTTCTCAATAATCTGATGTTTAAGCTTGATGATGTTTTGTTTTTTTAATTGACTGAGTGAATGATATTAGTCTGTATAGCCTGTGATGGGGAATTTAAAAGGGATTCTGTTCAAAGCAGGGTGATTAATTAATGTCTCTGTTACCTTGCTATCTGTTCCATCCAACACCTCTTCCATTGTAGTCGTTCAGTCACCATAGTCAGTTTGGACTGGATTTATTTAGATGCTTCCTCATTTCCATACATTCTTCTTGGCTGACTTGCAAGTGGAAAATGACCTTGCTTTGGATCCATCTTACATTTTACAAAAAATACTCCATGAGTATTTTTATATAAAAGCAAAGAAATAAAAAAGTAAACGTGCTTACTTACACCTTCACGGAAGACATTATAAAACACCAATTAGAGTGTAGCAGTATGATTCACACTGCAAAGGTGGTATCACAAATTAAAGCAGAGAGTTAACTTTGATGGTTTCTTATCCTAACTTACTGTGTCTCCTAGAAGACGTAAAGACAGACATGAAGCCAGTGGGTTTTCAAGAAGACCAGATCCAGATTCTGACGAAGATGAAGATTATGAAAGGGAGAGACGAAAAAGAAGTAAGGGAGCTGTTTGGGTTTTTTTATGGGGAAAGAGAAGGAAAAGGAGGGGAGGGATTCACAGTCCTGTTCCCATTTCATGGATTCTGTAGTTCCCTTTTCTCAGCTGAGAGAAAATACACTGTTATTTCTGAGCCTTTAGAATAAACCTAGCATTATATTACATCGTAACTGTTGTAATGCAGAAAACTTCTTCCCGTGGAGGGAGATGGCAGCTAAATTATTTGTGGAAGACCTCTTTTAACATTAGTTTGTAGATATTTATTTTAAGTTTCTGAGTGGTGTAGGTTCCAGGAAAGGGGTGAGGCATGAGCTAAAATCAGGCTATGAGAATCACTGTTGAATTTTCACTATAAAAGCTTACCATTCCTGCATTTGTTACTTGAATGCCCTTAGAACTAGTTAGAAAAATGTGGATCTGGGTAATGAGAGATGTCTTTGCATAAACAAAATGAAACTTTATTCTCTTTCAGCAACAAAGTTACAGTAAATAATTCAGGTCTGTTGTTATTTTAGAAAAGAAAATTTCTGGCAGGACGTTTAAAATATTTGCTCTGCCTTGAAAGTTTGAGACTACGTTAGAATATTGTTTATTAAAACACGGAAGGAGCTTTGTACTTTACTCTCATGGAAGTGTAGTTAATCCTGAACAGATCGTGTTTTTCATTTGGCTTAATGGAGCAGTTTTAGAACTGAAGACTTGTTTCACTGCAGTCTTTAATTTTGAAAGCCTACGAAACATGTTTACGATAGACACCATATGTAGTACATCACCGCAGTTTGATGTTGTCTCCCTTGATGTGCCTTTCATTCATTTCTAGTTTACCACTATTGAAACTTCTCACACTGCTCTCTTGCTGCTTTTCTGTTGGTAGAGATGTATGTTAAGAATGGGCTGGTAAGGAGCCAGCAGCTGTGTTAAGATTCAGTGAAGCTATTCCGAGCAGCAGAACCTAATCATAGGAATGTGTTGTCTTCCATTTTGCTCATAGGTATGGGAGGAGCTGCCATTGCACCGCCCACTTCTCTTGTTGAGAAGGACAAAGAACGTAAGTACACCAAAATCCTGTTCTCTAAAACCTAGCAGTGGTGTTTGTTTCTCACTCAACCTTCTGTTCAGTTAAGTCGTCCTGCTGTTCTTCCCATACGATTCTTTGTGGCAGAAGAACGTGCACTAGTTCTTTGTTGATGGGGGGAAGCTGTGGGGAACCTGCGATACTACTGTGCTTCACATCTCTGTTCTAAAGGATTCTTTCTGTATTGCTAGAGAAGTGGTTTGGCAAGCTGGTCTGTTACAACCATGTTCAGTGACTCGTTTCTGATGCGAAAGAAGAAATGTTGCAGACGGGTTTCTCTGGGTAGACTAGAAACCTCCACAGCACGAGGAGGGAATGTTTCCGTTACCCTTTGCTTTAGGAGGTACTTTGTGAATATCTGTTCTGAAGGGGTTATGCACTACAGACAGAATTTTTTAAGTTTTTGAGGGATACAGTATCTGCTGAAGAGATGTGTGCCCGCGAGAGTTTCCCTCAGTGAAGATGGCTTGAAGATTGCGGTTGTCCACTAGATGGCATGATCTTGCTATAAGAACAAAACTGTTCCCTTTTTTGCATGTCTAATTGTCTTAAATTTTTAAATTAAAATAACGAACAGTATGTTGTGTACGTTAAAAAATAAGAAGAAAAAAGAATCTTACGCACACAAACTTTCCCTTGGGAGTCCTGATTTTATTTATGAGAAGATTCAAATAAAAAAAAAATGAAGCTTGGCGGAGTAAGTGAATGGTATAATAGTGAAAGCATTTGAAGTGTGTAAACATTAAAAACAGAAAGAGACTGTTTTGAGTAAATAATTAAGAGCAATTGAGTGGTGTCAAGGAGAAGTAAATATAGGCTGGTAGAAATATCGTGAGGGAGAGGAGAGAGCTTTCAAAATGTGACGTGATCTCACAAGGAAACCTTTGTACAGCTTGTTACTTGATGCTCAAAGCTAGGCTGGAGAAACCTGAGAAAATATTGCTGTAGCAGAAGTCCCATGGTCTAGTCCATCTGCTGCTTAAATAGGGATTTTTTTCCTCATACGACATCCCCAACTTCAAGTCTGACATTTTATTTGGTAAGATACAAATACTAGCTCACAAGAAAATAGTCTAACATGAAGTCAGTCTAAAAGTCCTTAAGTACATTCAGAAGTGTGTTCTGCATATTTCCTTTAGTGTTCTGCAGGCTTTTTTTTAACATTTTGTCATTTGACTTGTCAGTGGAAGGTAGTTTAATAATCTAATCAGTATGATTAAGATGTCTATATAGAGAGAGATATATCTCTCCATCCCCCAGGAAACGTTGCCGTTCAGAAAGTCAGTGAGATCTCTTAAGATTATATAAATACTTTGCTTCGAGTTGCATTCATTCTTTTTAATAGACTGATTTCTCTTTTGTGTAAACGTACAGTATACTTTTGTTTACAGTCCTCAGGCCCCAAGCTGTGTGCATTGGTCCATTTTTGTCATAATTCTGTTCCTGATGAATGGGGCTTTTAAGTTTGCTTGCCCTCTGTCTGGATAAACTCATTGTAGTGCGGGTGGCCTCTTAATGTTTCTTTTCTCCATTTGATAAGTCAGAGGTTAATAAATGCATTACAGACCCATGGATACAAACTCGCTCTATATCCAGTGAGGAAAATCCAGAATGTCTCAACTCAAATCTTGTCTTTGAGAGAGAGAGTGTTGAGGGGATGTTAAAGCAGCATGTGCAAAGGAAACATTCTTCTGATTTGGATTTGTGGAAGACTTTTTTTGGTAGTTTTAGTATTAAAGCAGAAAAAAGTACAACTTGCAGATGAAGAGCTGTCTGTAAGTGAGTTAGAGTAAAGGCGCAGTACTCTAGTGTTCATAACAGGAAAGTACTTCATGCAAAGTATTTTATTGAAAAAGCAAATGTCTCCGTTTTCTTCAGCTGTAGCATCATTTCCATTTGAAGAGGAGTCGAGACCTCGGGCACCATCTTCCAAAGCAGCTATTCCTCCTCCAGTGTATGATGAGCCAGAAAGACCTCGTTCCCCCACAGGACCTAGCAACTCTTTCCTTGCTAACATGGGGTAAATGATTGACTTAAGCACATTTTGTGGAAAAAGGCGTTAGAAGGTGGTGGAAACCAGAAGTTAAAATAGTTAGTCGGTAGAGAAGAACACAACCCGTTGCATGCATGTGGTTAGTCTGCATACAGTCCTAACTGGCAGGATACAGAAGAAGCAGTGGATTTACTCCATCGAGAGAAACGCATTTGAGGTGGTTGCATTTAAGGCTGCGCTTTTAAGCAAGTTCTGAAGCCACATTCCAGTATAAAGTGTTTATGGCTTGTACATGCCAAGCTAATGTAGTATACAGGAAAACACAGATGGCATGTTAGTTCCTCTAGGTTTCTTTTCCAGCTTTGTCTTAAATTCGCTACGTACCAGTGAGCAAATAATTTCAGCTCTGCTTTGTTTGTTTGTTCAAAAAATCAAAGCATATTTGCATGAATGTAGCAGCTGTGGTTGCAAATCTGTCCATTTACTCTTCTGCCTTGGATTAGCATTGCGTGTAATGCTTGTGTTACTACTGTGGCAACAAAATGAAGTTGAATACGTAGTTAAAAACAGCTTAGAGACCTCATTTGAAAGGTGTAGTGGTTAGCTATGGTCCTGTTACCAGTTGCATCGGGTGTTGTGGAAATGCAGCCTCAGTGTTAGTCAAAACTGTATCCAGGACGAACACAGACGTAAGTGTAGTTTATTACATTATTAGACTGCATTTCCATTTTGGAGACAACTTTTCATGCAGTTTTTTGATAGAAATGCTTTTTTTTCCCCACATTGTCTAGAAAAAGGATAACCAAAGTCAGGATGGTGGACCAGTTTATGCGTTGTTACCACCTCTAGTTAGCAATACCCTGGGATCTTCACTTCATTGAAGGAAGTGCTAAAAATACGAGCTAACCTGCTTTACTTTGACCACACAATTGGCTACTGTTTATTCTGTGACTTAGTGTTACAACCTTTCAGCATTACATAGTCAGACTTCTTGGCCTTTTTTTAATGTGTCTTTGTATGTTTCATATAGTATGCTTAGAAAATAGTCATGTAGTCACTGATTCTGCATTTTCTGTTTAGTCTTACATGCCTATGGGTAGAATGGGGGTGACTGAGCATAGAATATTTACTGTGGTGTAGACTACTATACCATGGCATATCTTTTGTGTCTTGGCCTGTCTAGCTGTGGTCTCTAAAGAAGTGTCAACACGTGTAGGTATATTTTGATTCTATCTACTCATTTAGTGGGAATTTAAAAACCTGTCAGTGGAGGTGCTTTTTGTAAGGTACTTATAAAAAAAAAAAGGTACCTTTAAATCGGTGGGGACTTTATTGCCTCAATACATTCTTGAAAATTCAGAAAGATGAGGCATGTTTAAATTAATGCTGAGGATATCCAGATTTGTTATAGGAAGGGATAGCAAAGCCATGTACTCTGGAGCTTACGCTAGCTTTGAACTAGTAGACAGTGGAATGTGATCTAATGTGGGAAGTAGATATTCTACATCTGTCTTTTCTCTCAACCTTTTGATACCAGCCACTGACAAAGACAAGAAACTGGACTAAATAGACCTCGGTCTAATCTGCTTTGTGATTTACTGGCAGCAACCTGATCTAGTGAAAGATGTCCCTGCCCATGGCAGAGGGGTTGGACTAGCTGATATTTAAAGGTCTCTTCCAACCCAAACCGTTCTATAGAGTGTACAATGCTGACTTGCGCTGCTAATGGGAGTTGGGTTGTATTTGTAAAAGTATGAACAATTGTATTTAGTCAGCTTCTATCTGTAATTCAGGGGTAACAGTTTTCATCTTCACAGGATGCTGTGAAATGGCTAGGTTGTAAAGGCGTGTAGAAGCCCTTAAGTTTTCAGTCGCTGTGTTACGAGATTTTAGGAGGTAGAGTATTTGAGCACTCAGGAGAAATGCAATGTTAATGTTTTGTGTAAGAAACCTTTACTAACTGATGCTTTTTCTCTTTGCAGAGGGACAGTAGCTCATAAAATCATGCAGAAGTATGGTTTCAGAGAGGGCCAGGGGCTGGGAAAGCATGAACAGGGGCTGAGCACAGCACTGTCAGTAGAGAAAACAAGCAAGAGGGGTGGCAAGATCATTGTTGGCGATTCTGCAGAGAAAGGTAATTTTGTCCTACACCAATAAGTTTGTGAAACACGGTCAGGGAAAAATAATAGTTCAGGCTAAGTGGAAGCTTCTGGATTTTTTGTTTACCATTTGTCCTTGCAGAAAATGGGGGGATGAAGGGATTGAGAGCAGCCCTGCTGAGAAGGACTTGGGGGTACTGGTGGATGAAAAGCTGGACATGAGCCAGCAATGTGCGCTCGCAGCCCAGAAGGCCAATCGTATCCTGGGGTGCATCACAAGCAGCGTGGCCAGCAGGTCGAGGGAGGGGATTCTGCCCCTCTACTCTGCTCTGGTGAGACCCCACCTGGAGTACTGCGTCCAGCTCTGGGGTCCTCAGCATAAGAAAGACACGGGCCTGTTGGAGTGGGTCCAGAAGAGGGCCACGAAAATATTCAGGGGGATGGAACACCTCTCCTATGAGGAAAGGCTGAGAGAGTTGGGGTTGTTCAGCCTAGGGAAGAGGCGGCTTCGGGGAGACCTTATTGCAGCCTGTCAGTACTTAAAGGGGGCTTATAAAAAAGATGGCGGCAAAGTTTTTTATCAGGGCCTGTTGTGACAGGACAAGGGGGAATGGCTTTAAACTAAAGGAGGGTAGATTTAGACTAGAGATAAGGAAGACATTTTTTACTGAGAGGGTGGTGAAGCACTGGCCCAGGTTGCCCAGAGAGGTGGTGGCTGCCCCATCCCTGGAAACATTCCAGGTCAGGTTGGACGGGGCTCTGAGCAACCTGATCTAGTTGAAGATGTCCCTGCTCATTGCAGGGGGCTTGGACTAGATGACCTTTAGAGGTCACTTCCAACCCAAACTATTCTATGATTCTGTGAAAATAGAGTTGGAAGAATGACTTGTGTTCCTTCTTGTGGAAATTTATCTGTTTTATCTTTTTTTAAAGTGGTCCTCTATGAATTATTTTAGCTCGTCCTCCCCTTCCCCACCAGTTGTCCTCCTTTAGTGTTTGGAAGCCTCTTCTCTTCAAGGGGTGATCCTGCTCTGCTTCTGCTGACTTTCTCCCTATCACATGCTTTAGATATTGCTCTCATTTCCCTGCTGTTGTCTGATCTGGAGACGACATCTAGGCTTACTAGAACAGCACCTCTGCCTGAGCACAAGTGTTGGAAGCCAGGAGATCTGGTTTTTAGTTCTTAGGGGATCTGATACAATTCTGAACTTACAAATTATTTCCCTCAAAGAAATAGTATGTTGTCAGTGTTCTAGCTTAATTCACATTCTGTAGCAGTGACTTTTCTGTTTATTGTCCTTCCAAATAGCTGCGAGTTCTGAATTCCTCACCAATATGAAACTACATTTTGTGGCTTTTATTCCATTGTTTGATAACAGCAAGATGCTGATAAAAGCCCCCATATAAGGTTTAAATGAGCTTTAACCTTAACTTATTGCATGATTCACTGTTCTGTCTTGAAAGCAGAAACGGGCAAGAAAGCGGATTCTAACCCCTTGACTGAGATACTGAAATGCCCGACTAAAGTGGTCTTGCTAAGGGTAAGTTGGGAGTAAGGGAACCTGTCTTGGTATTTGCAGCATACGCGACTGGTTGAAATGTTTAAACCTGTGTTCCTGCTACGACGACTCTGTACAGTTTGAACAGTTCTGGCCTGTACCTACATGGTGCTTTGTGTTGTGGAGAAAATGTGTCTTCCTGAGATACAAGTTGTGACTGTAAATCAACGCTGCTTTAGATTATACAGTTACCTTGTCTTAGTACTAGGGAACTGTCTCCTCCTGTGGCTCGACTGGTAAACAGAAGCTTAAAGTATTCATGGTGACAGTTGCATGCATCTGTGAGTTGTCTACGTAATCGTCTGTACAGACTACATCCAGTGAGTTGGGTTTGTTCTTTTAACTTTCAGAACATGGTAGGTGCTGGGGAGGTGGATGAAGATCTAGAAGTTGAAACTAAGGAAGAATGTGAAAAATATGGCAAGGTTGGGAAATGTGTCATCTTTGAGGTAAGAGATAATCTCTGTCTGCTCTGAAAGTGAACTGGGCACTTGTCCCTCACGACTGGCTCGTTACTGCCTTAGGGCAGGGGCATAGATTAGAAGGTCCTTTGCTGCGTTGTGATTCTGTATTTTCCACATCTGTGAGATACAAACTTTTAATGTCAGAAACGGCAAAAATCTCTGGGTATTGTGCTTTTGGAACCTTTTTATTGTGTTCTCTTCACTACTTTTGTGAAGAACAGCAATTTAAAACAGTATTTTTTTACTGTTCTAATTACTTCTGGGTTGTGTTTCAGATTCCTGGTGCCCCTGATGATGAAGCCGTAAGAATATTTTTGGAGTTTGAACGGGTTGAATCTGCCATCAAAGGTAGGATACTAATTTGTGTCCTGTGAACCTCAGAATTAACTTCTGTAGAGAGATTAAACAGTCTCCCTGATTAGACTGTCTAGCTAAAGAAATGTTTATTTTATTGAACTGCTACTTGCTGACCTGTTCTTGGTTTCAATTCCAGCTGTTGTGGATCTAAATGGAAGATACTTTGGAGGCAGAGTCGTGAAGGCTTGTTTCTACAACCTGGACAAGTTCAGAGTACTGGATCTGGCAGAGCAAGTTTGATTTTAAAAATCTAGCTCGAGGTGTCACTGTTTTGGCAATCATGTTTTCAGTGGTAGGCTGGGAATGAAGAAGAGAAAAGTAGCTTTCCTAGCAAACTGGAAACAAGCCTCATTGAATGGATTTTTCGCATTCGTTGTGACTTACTTTTTTTGTAATATAAAGCCCTTTGAAAGTAAGATTCACGTCTGTGTTTTTGAATTGCACAATTCTGCTTATTGCTCTGGGGATCCTGGTTTTTTGAGCTTTCAGATGACTTCGTTCTTTTGAAAACCCACTGCTGAGGAGATGCTTTGTCTCTATTCCTGCTTTCCTTGTTCTGGTGCTTCATCATGGAGTCCCTGTGCTGCACCCACAGTAAGTGGGAAGCTTTGGAAAAGGACTACGTGCCATCATGCTTCTCCTCCCTGATGGTATCTCTCAGAGTTACAGCCTTGCTCTCATAAGTCCGCCGTCTGCACGCCAGAGTGATTTGGGGTCGTTGGACAGTTGGCAGCTAGTTTGTTCTCTCCTGACTTCAGAACAATACTTTCTATGCCAGAATGGAGACTAAAGTAACAAGGAATGAGTCTGTCTTTCTTCCCAAATCCAAAGAAAATACATGTTTAACCCAGGGAAATGGAAGGAGGAAGGAATTTAAAGTGCTTAGCCATTTGGATCCGAATGAGTGGGCTGTTAGCAGGAGCTCTGTGCTGTCAGGCAGTCTTTGCTAGAAATATCCAGGATTAACTGATTACAGGTGGTTACTGAAATGCTGTAGGTAGAACTGAGGGAAACTCGTTCTTGTACCTGGCCGGCTATCGGATTCTCACTTCCTCTAATGTCCCATGTAGGTAACTAACTTTTTGTTTAATTGATTCAAAGCTGGCATTGCTCTCTCTCGCTCTTTGAGATCAAGTGACACTGGGGTTGGGCTTTTTTTTTTTTTTTGAGAAGGCGTGCCAGTCGAAGTTTTCAAAGTTAGGAGGCAATGGAAGAAAATTCTCTCATGAAAATCCGAAGAGTTGACTAAACTACTAAACTCTTTTTTGTTTTTTTCAGTCTGACATAAAATAATACATAGCACTCTGCTCCTGGTTTTATGTTTGCTTTTTGTTTGGGAACAGTATGTGACAAAGAGTTGGCAAGAGGTAGCTATGCAACGATGGCAGTTGTCTCTGTGCTCCACTGCACCTAGAATTGTGCAGATATTAAAATGGAAGTGAGCTCTGAGGGCGTTTTAGCTGTTTGAAAGCTGATGCTGGATGTCTTTTTCCTGTTACACACATGTATTGGGGGGAGGGGGTATAGACCTGTAGTTGATCAACGCTGTGAATATCTCCAGTTATTGCCCTTTCATTAAGTTTTGGCTGCAGATCTATATGACAAACCCTTGGTCTTGTGTTTCGCTTATTTTGTCCGCTTGTGTTCCACCAACCTCTGTACAAACATTTGCTGTAAAACAGAAAACGATTTTTAAAAAAAACCTTGTATTTTACCTGCTGTGTGTTGGCTTCCTTACCGTCCTCTTCTGTTGCACGAGGCCTTCCCGCAGAGTCGGTCGCTTCCACGCCACCTGCGCTGCTGTTGGCAGTAGTTGTGAGCCACCATTAGAAAACCTCGCTGCAGCAGAGGTGAAGAACCGGCCTGACTAATACTAAAACCACAGGACTTGGGGCAATAACAGAACCTGGGTTCTGTTACTGGCTCTGCTGTTAGTTTTCTCCTTGACCTTGAGCAACACTTTAAGGCCTTTGCTACTGTGTAGTAAAACAAAGAAATTAGCCTAATGTGAATTAGCACAGATTTGCTCATGAGAGTCAAATAGTTTGAGGGGCGTGCTGTAGAAAGTTAAGCACTGATGACAGATTTAGTATGATCTGAACTTAGCTTGAAATATGACTTGGCTTTAAGCAACATGATTTATTTATGGCTCTTATTTCAGCAAATGCCTCCGTTCTGAGTGACTAGCTGTAAGCATTTCCTGAGGTATACAGACTATATTTTGTGTCTTCTAACCAGCTGTTCTGCTGTTTTCTCTGTAATACCCGCTTCTGAGCTTCCAGTTTGATGAGTTGGAGGTCTTCCATTTGCTAAGAATTGCTTTCCTGGCAAGTTTTGAACCATTTAGTTCTAAAAATCCTTATTGTGATTGAAGACTTACGGGTAAAGTTTATCCCTGGAAATGTAGGGGAGAGGACTTGTTCGTTCAGTCTTTTGTGTAGGAGATTCATGCTATAAATAAAATATTTTTCTGTAGCATGGGGTCACTAAGCATAAGCATGCCGCCTCCTAAAGCGTCAGCAGACCTGCATTGCCTTAGTTTCATCTCTGGGGGTACTCGCCTTGGTGGGTGCTGCCCAAATACGTGACGTTGGAGCCTGGTTTGTATAAGCAGTTGTCCTTTCGGTGCTGCCACAGTAAATGCAAACACATAGACACATGTGGACGCCTGAAAAGGATCAGACATGCTGACTTGAGGTCCTTAGACGTTGCTTACAACAGGTAATGTAGTTAGTAGCAAGTATTTTTTTTGCAAATGCACATTCTTTCACTTAGCCTGTGTTGATATGTTGGCTCAGACTTTCTCAGGTGTGGCTGTATCTTGCATGCCTTTAAAAATTTGGTTCTGAATTTACTGCTCTACTTCCTACCTCCTCTGGAATCTTGTTACTGACTTCTATTTCTAGTAGTTTCTCAGATAACTTTTTATTGAACACCTCCAGCTTTTCCTGCTTACGCATCCATTTTTTTCCCTTCCGTGATTCATCAGCGCCCTCTCAGAAGGCTCAGCAGCACTTAATTTGGAGTTCTTCGTTGCAGCTACAAAGTTTTACTTGTTTGTTTGCCTTTGCATACTTGAAATTGTGCACCCACCTTTCTCTGTAAGGTACGTACTTATAACTGTAGTCTGAAGCAGTAGTGGTTTTGTTTCTCTTTTTGTGTGGTGCCTTGAAAGGTTATGATTTTACAGAAAATGAAGAGGATGGTGGCCTGTTAAGATACATTTGTCTTATTGGCAGTACAGTATGGGTGATACTGCTTCAGATGAAGCTTTTGGTATTTGTATTGGGTTTGCACAGCAAGGGTTTGGGGGGGTGGGGTGGGGGCTAGAGGGGTTGCTTCTGTGAGAAGCTGCTAGAAGCTTCCCCTATGTCTGATAGAGCCAATGCTAGCCA